TAACTTGCTGGCACTGACTGTTCGGTCGCCTGGTCGTTCGTTTGGGTTTTAGGCCCGTTTCCCTGTTTTGGAGATTTTATAACTTGAAAAGTTGACTTTGGTCAACCTTCTTGGAAGACGTGCTCAGATGAAAATTCTGACAGCTAGGTTAGCTTCGGAATATCGATTTTGGTCTAGAACGACCCTTTGTTCACTTCCCGAGGCTTTAGATGGCAGTTGTGGAATCTGGCTCAAAACGATACTGGGTGTGGGACCCACTTTTCATCGAAGTGATCTCCAAATGGAAATTCCGCCTTCACCGTTGAGTCCGAAATATCGTTTTCAATCAGATTCCATATATGGTTTGTATTTTTCCGACTCCGAACGAGTCCGGAACATCGAAATTTAAGTTTGAAGGGTTGTAGAATTCTAACGCGGCGGTGCCGTGGCAGAGCCACGCGACGCCACGTGACAGCGGATGGAAATCTGGAAATTTCCAGATTTTAGGACGAATTTCGTCCATTATTTCTTTCACATCTTCAACATAAGATTTCTCCTCCATTTTAATCCCGAATTAAGTGATTCAAAAGGCTAACTTCAAGAGAATTTCGTGGGGAATCTAGAGGTGATCTCAGGAACGCGAGGGGAGGCTTCGTTTGAGGTAAGAAATCGAATTTAGCTACTGCTAGGGTGATTTTCGGAATGAATTGTTGTTGAATTTTGAAATGTGAGATCTTGATCATCTTAAGTCCGTTTTGAGTCATTCTTGAGGCTAACTTGTAGAGTTTTTCGCAAGGATCGTCGTGGTATAATCTGTTTGGGTTGAAAGGGTCTCGTTTTTCCAGAAATGGGTGATCAAGGGGCTGCTAGTGTTAATTGTTGTGGCTGATTTGCTATGTTTTAGGCATCTGTTTGTGCTAAATTTTGGGGTATTAGTTTAGTAAGGTATTTGGGATGTTTTCACGGATTCATTTTCAGGATTCCAATTGTGGGTCCCACAATCCCGTTTTAGATTCGATTTTGGGTCCGTCTCCGAAAAATATAATTTTAGTGTCAATATATTCGTAATGACGAGGTGATTAACCTTTTGTTAGTGGGGAAGCAGTTGGAGACCGTTCGGAAGGGAAAAGCTCTGATACCGTGAGTTGGAGCACACGTGGTCGGCTTTCAGGTAGGCTATGGCTTTCCCTCGTGAGATTGAGCATGTTTAGGCATTTGTTTATTGATTTGCTTGAGTATGGAGGGGTTCGGGTGTCGAGCATGCTAAATTTCTATAATCCCTGCCTTAGACCTTATTTCGGGAAAGTGTTGGATTATGACAACATGTCTCTTGATATTATTGAACATCCATATCTTGTGGTGTATATGATAATATTGATTTGAAGTATGTTTGGCCTTAGTCTAAGCTTAGACTAGTGTTGCCATAGACTTGCGAGATTTCGGATGTCGTTGGGCAGTAGAACTTTTTCCGACGTCGTTTCGGACGGTCAGCTCCTTGTAGACTGATATAGCAGACTTGAGTCTGATAGTCGGTAACTCAGTTTATGACCTTGTATCCGTAATGCCCTACTTTTCTATTAGCTACAGTACCCGATTAGAGTCTGTGGTCTAGCTTACTTATGTCCAGGCTTAGCTACAGTACCCGGTTAGAGTCCGTGGTCCAGCTTACCTGTGATCTGGTTTTGGCTACAGTACCCGGTTAGAGTCCGTGGTCCAGCCCACCCCTGCCCGACCTTTGGCTACAGCACCCGGTTCGAGTCCGTGGTCCAGCCCATATAGGTTGACTCATTAGCTATAGTATCCGGTTCGAATTTGTGGTCCAGCTTGCACGTGGTGTATTCCCAATTCCTCACTAAAGCTTCAGTTTAGTCTTGATTACTCTCATCTGTAGGTTGAGGTTTTGGAGGTTGGAGAGATTCCGATTAAAGTCCGGGACGTAATGAGATCCTGGAATATAATTGGGAATGGTTCAGTTAAAAGTCCGAAAATTGGTAATATTGTGATAGACCTTCTAGCTCCATTATTTTACTTTAACTGCCGGTGTATCTGCCGGGCTTATGGGGGTCCGTGCAGGTGGTTTCTTTTATTGTGCACGAGCGTACCCGTCTGGTTTATGGGAGCCCGGCGGAGTTAGTTAGATTACTTGTCTTTGTTACCTGTACGCTCGTGTACATACCCCCATTTACTACTCTTTGCACTTGATGTGACCCTTTATTTGCATTTCAGTTCACTTTTGTTTATCTTGCTCAGTCGGCCTATGATGCCTACTGGGTACATGTTGTGTTGGTACTCATGCTACGCTCTGCATCTATTTTGTGATGCAGGTCCGAGCACTAGTAGCCAGTGTTGATCGAGCTTGGAGTAGACTTATCCGGAGACGGGGGTGAGCACACGGCGTTTTGTACTATTTCAGTCTCCATCTGTATATATAGACTTGTCTTTTTCCTTTCGAGACAGTCCAGTCTCTGTTGTCCAGTTTTGGGACTTGTACTCATTTTGTAGTAGCTCTGTACTGGTGACTTCCAGGTTCTGGGAGGGATCTTTATTTGTATATATGTTTTGGATTGCTTCCGCCTGTTTATATTGTTATTTGCCTACTCTTGTTTAATTTCTACCCTCAGACCCATTACTTGTTGTTCCGGGTTACGGGTTGGCTTACATGCTGGTGGGTTATAGTAGGTGCCATCATGACTTGATAAATCGGGTCGTGACATATACCTTGTAATCTATGTAACTCCTAAGGTCATTATTTTCACTATTTACTACCCCATTATCTTCTTATTCATTGCTAGGAAGACTTCTTCTACTATAAATAGTGGTGGTCTTCATTTGGTTTGGAACTACACAATACACAAGAAAAATATAGAGTGCATAAAATTTGTCAAAAGAGAGTTCTTATTAGTTGAAAGGAGGTGTTCTTTTTGTGGAGCTTTGGACTCAACTCTTGTCCAAAGTTGTTGAGTTATATATTGTGATTAGGCTGTTGTATCCTGGAGGGGACAAGTCAAGAAGGACTACTGCTGGACCGGTGAAAACATTTGTTGCAGTGAGCTTGAATCTCCTTAAAGAGAGCGAGATATCCGCCCCTCAGCCTGAAGAGATTTATTTTCTTCATTTTATTTTCGATTGTAATCTTGTAAGTTTTCACTAACATGTTTGAATGAGGATCCAAATGAACGCCCAGATATGAAGGTGGTCTATGCCAACTTGTCCGATTTGGTTGGAACAACAACGTCACATAAATTAATTATGCAAGAAAATAAGGTCTCTACCATCTTGTCTAAATATAGTAACTCAAACAAGATTGGATTGGGAATTGCTTTTGAATTTCACAGGGAATAGAGAGAAATACTACTAATTGGAAGAATATCATATTTATAATAGTCTAAATTGTATGCCGTAAGAGTTCGAATATTTTGTATAATTAAAGACTAGAAATTGCAGTAAAAAACTTTGACATGCATGTAGACTATATGATCAAAGCACTAAGTCTTTCCCAAGATTTAAATGATGTATCTCGATATAATATTCCCATAACTATATAGTTAGCGTATGTTTGGCCAAGCAGGTTAAAACGACTTATTTTGATAAGCTTTTTAAATGAACTTTTCAAAAAAAATATTTTTTGTGAAAAGTAGTTTGTGTTTGACTAATTCATTAACAAAGTGTTTTTTTTATATACGTGGATTGTGTTTGATAAATGTTTTCAAAAAAGTATTTTTGAATGTCATATTATGAAAAGGGACAAATTTCTATTTACCATTGACAATGAAACATAGGAAATCCAAAATTTGAGGATAAGATCCATAAGTCATGTCTATAACAGTTAGTCCAATTTTTTGTCCCTTAAAGATGCATTGCACACATACATAGACAAGAAAGATAAAGAATATTTTCCTGTTTTCTACAAAGAAAAATCCAAAGGTGAACATAAATTAATAACTTTCTCATAATAAAATCCATCATATATTTTTGAACTATAGAATATCTAATCATCTAACTTATTCTATGCTTGACAAAGAAAACGTGTACGAGAGTTCTACAAATAATGAACTAGTTGTGGTAGTTAAATTATGTACATTTTAGTGTCAAAATTTTGGAAATTATAAACTAGTATGTGGCATATCCAGTTTTACCCACACTTACTCGGACACGTAGCTAATTACAGGTTCAATTGAATTTATAACTTAGATATGAATTTATAATTTTAAAAATACAATGATTTAATATTAAGAATTTTAAGATTAAACTCAAAAATACAATGAGTTGATGCCACATTTTGTTCATCTAAAATATCACTCATCCAACTTGGGTTACCAAAATTATGAATCAAATGATAGAGACGTTTTATATGATATTAAAGTAAAATTAAATAAATAAATAAAATATATAAAAAAGAAGCAAAATTAAATAATTTTTTTATTACAAAAAATTGTTCTATGGTACTTGAACAATGTTGATTTCTAAAATTAAAGTTCATCACTAAAAAGAGAAGAAAAATAAGTACTCCACAATCAATCAAGTACACGATTTAGCCTTTTAATAGCATAAATATGAGAATAGACCACGAATTTACGTGCCCCATATTTTTGCCTACCAACCAAATACAAAATAAAACAATCTCATATTTAATCTCGAAATTGTTATTCATAAACAATGAATTTTACTTTGAAATTATTAATCCTTATCCCATCGACGAAACAACCCGACAAAAGTCTCTTTCCTTCAGTCAACTAGAGTAATAAATGAACTAGTGGATCATTGCGTCAGATGTCATAACAAACTACTACTATATACTTTCTACAAATAAAAAGAGCATAATGCTTCTGTAACAACAAATGTCACCTTCTTTTTTTCTCTCTTTCCTCTCAAATACATGTGCTCATTTCACCAAAAAAAAAAAAAATCTCACTATCCATCACCAAATCTTGAAAAAAAATCTTGTGTATTGTCTTTTTATAAGGCAAATCGACTTCGATTTTTGAATAATTCACATCACTTATGCTTCTGTATAGCTTACTTTAAAATGTTCAATTTTCTCACATTCCTCTGCTTTGTCATTTCCTTCTCAATTCTTGCTTCATCTCAACTTGATGAATTCATTTTCACAAAATTCAATCAACCAAACAACAACATAACCTTAAGTGGAGTAGCAAAAATAAGCCAAAATGGGTTTATTCAATTAACAAATGACACAAGTAGACTAATAGGACATGCTTTTTACTCTTCACCTTTCCACTTCAAGACTACTAATGCCTCTACCTTCTCTTTCTCAACGTGTTTCGCGTTGGCCATAGTCCCCGAGTATCCAAAACTCGGGGGCCATGGCCTAGCGTTCACAATTTCTCCGTCAAAAGACTTTAGTACAGCTCTTCCGAGCCAGTACTTAGGTCTGCTCAATGCTAGTGATATTGGTAACTTCTCTAACCATATTTTTGCTGTTGAATTTGACACGGTACGTGATTTTGAGTTTGGTGATATTGATGATAACCATGTTGGTGTTAATATTAACAGCTTAGAATCAAATAAATCAGCTGCAGCTGGCTATTTTATTAACGATCAAAATGTGAAACAAGATTTGAATCTTAAAAGTGGGAAAGTCATTCTTGTTTGGGTTGAATATGATTCTGTTACAAAATTAGTTAATGTAACTCTTTCACCAAATTCTTTAAAACCAAAAATTCCTCTTTTATCTTATAATTTTGATGTCTCTCCAATTTTTAAAGAAAATATGTATGTTGGCTTCTCTGCTTCTACTGGTTTGCTTGCTAGTTCACATTACATTTTGGGTTGGAGTTTTAAGTTAAATGGAGAAGCAAAGTCACTTGACTTGGATTCTCTACCATCACTTCCTGGACCTAAGAAGAAGCACAGAAGACTAATTATTGTCATCTCGATTATAGTGTTTGTGTTTGCGTTAATTTCAATCTTGATTGCTGTTTATACAATACGGAGATTTAAGAATGCTGACGTGATTGAGCAGTGGGAGCTTGAGATTGGTCCTCATAGATATTCATATGATGAACTCAAGAAAGGTACTAGAGGTTTTAAGGAGAGTGACCTACTCGGGCGAGGTGGATTTGGGAAAGTTTACAAAGGTGTTTTGAGAAATTCAAAAGCAGAAATTGCTGTGAAACGAATTTCTCATGAATCTAAACGAGGGTTGAGGGAATTTGTGTCTGAGATTGCGAGCATTGGAAGACTCCGTCATAGGAATTTGGTTCAATTGTTAGGATGGTGTAGACGTCGTGGTGATTTGTTGCTTGTGTATGAGTTTATGCCTAATGGAAGTTTGGATAACTTCTTGTTTGGTGAGCCAAAAATGGTGTTGACATGGGAACAAAGGTTCAAGATTATCAAAGGGGTTGCTTCTGGTTTACTTTACTTACATGAAGGCTATGAACAAGTCGTGCTACATCGAGATATTAAGGCTAGTAATGTGTTACTAGATGGTGAATTAAATGGTAAGTTAGGGGATTTTGGACTTGCTAGATTGTATGAGCATGGGTCTAATCCGTCCACGACTAAAGTTGTAGGTACATTAGGGTACCTTGCACCAGAATTACCAAGAACAGGACGAGCCACTACAAAGACTGATGTGTTTGCCTTTGGTGCTTTGTTACTCGAGGTGGTTTGTGGACGTAGGCCAATTGAACACAAAGCAGGACCCGAGGAGTTTGTTCTCGTGGACTTGGTGTGGGATAAATGGAGAGAAGGTAAAATACTTGACATTGTGGACTATAGATTGAAAGGCGAATACAATGAGAGTGAGGTTTTGATGGTGTTAAAATTGGGACTAATGTGCTCAAATAACAAGCCTTTGGCGCGACCAAGTATTAGGCAAGTTGTAAGATACTTTGAAGGTGAAATTGGGATGCCTGAGGCTCCAACAACACAAGGTTCTGATGATCTTGAAGGATTTGGATTCGATGAAAGTGAACGTTGGAATTCCTTAGCATCGACTAGTATTATGATCAAGTCAAGTTCATTTACATGTTTGTCTAATGGAGATGAAAATAGTACTAATTATGTTTCCTCTTCTACTTCACCACTTCCACTTCTATATAGTGGTGAATGTACCTAGATACTAATGTGAACTAGCATTGCAAACTTTTCTATATTTTCCTGAAGAACACTAATGTACATTGTTTTTTCCTTTTCTGTGTTACCTCTTTGTAGTAGTTTTTTTCCCACAGAAAACTTAGGAAGCTTCCCTGTATTTCAGTGAGAACCTGTTTTCCACCATGTGTTTTCCCAGTGAGCTAGTTCGATGGGAAATCGGTGGAAAAATTATGTTTTATAATACAAATTTTTCATTGATTCGCGATGGAAAAAGTCTTTGTTTCTAGTAGTGAATCTGAAGTTTTCTTCAGTTGAACAATAGATAAACATTGATGTAACTATGAACAAATGTGGCTATTCCAAAGTTCTTTTGTGTGTGTTATCAATGACGCAAATCTGAATTTCCACTAAGAGGAAACAAAATGTAAAGAAGTAAACACACGGAAAAGTCAATGGAATTCGACATCTACTATATATCAATAAGATATATCGTGTAGTTTTCCAACGACGCAAGCTCAAATGAACCCTTGTGCCCCTAACTCCGCCCATGTATATGAAATTAACCAAACTTTGTGGTTAACACACACTGATATTATAGGAAAATTAACCAAACTTTGTGGTCAACAAACATTGAAAATTATAGGAAAATTAACCAAATTTTGTGGTGAACAAACATTGAAAAAATATGATTTCTAAGTCAGTCATCAGTCATCACCAAAACTGTATTTGACATTAGTCTAATGAAGTAATGTTAAAGGCAAAATGATCAACAAAGAGAAGTGATATAGTAGTTGTGTTATCATTTTTTTTTTGGTTTCCCGTCCCCTGGTGTTCAGAGCCCACATTAGAGCCTGAGTAAATCCAAACTATGCAATATAGGACCCATTCAGAGGTGATGCTCCCAACTGAATTTTCTCGAAACCAAGACCTCTGGTTTTTTATATCATTATAAAGCATAGTGCCTTTTCTGATGCCACCACAATTGAATGGACATAGAGTTAAATAAGACAGTTTATTGAAATGTAATTTAGATTATATTGCCTAGGCAAATAATTTAAACTTAGCCCTCTTTTGGATTTTGGATTTTGGATTAAACACTTCCAAACTCTTTTTAAAAAAAAGAATATTAACAGCCACTAATAGTTCAGTGGTGAAGTTGTTGACTAAAGTCTTTTAAGGGAATATAAAATCTTCCAAATAAGAACATGGGATTGAGAATAGATTTTGCATATAACGCGTGTTTCTGACCCAATATAAACGATCATACAATCAGATTTAAGATTTAAATATTATCCTATGATTATAATATGATCAAATTTTCGAATACATGGAAAATTGTGCGATTTGTCATGTGTGTCTACTTATTCAACTTTATAATAATTTAAATATCTATTTATGAACATCCAAAGTTTAAAAGCATAAATATCAATTGAGATCAAATTATATGAATATGGTACGATTATGTATTATGTATTATTATTTTGAGAGTTGACAAAGTCTAGTAGCAGTCTTTGATGACTTATAAAATGAGGCCCAGTGTTCTTGACGCTGCTACTTTTGTTTGGCCCACTTAATTTCTGTCCAACCAAATTAAAAGATAAGACAACTCAGTGGATTTCATCCTCAAAGGATTATAATTGGATGAGAAACAGATTGGGATTTAAATTTTATAAATTCGAGTTTGAAATTTTATCATTACTCATTTGATTTATTGGTTCAAATCAATTATTTATATTTGGTTACGTAGTGAGTTATTAAAATACATATAACATTCTAACCAAAATTATTGAGTTCGAAAGAATTAGTACATCTAATAACTTTACGTTGCGCAGAGGCGGATCACCCTATAGGGTGGGGGTGCACGTGCACCCGTTAACTTCAGAAAAATTATGTGTATATTTGTATATCTATCTTGAGAAACTGACACAAATTATGATTATTGAACTGTGCACCCATGAAAAGTATATGTTTGTCATTGTGTTGTTGGTACAAGCTAGAAAAACCACTCATAAGACTTGTGTTCAAATTTAGCTACAATGTTATTTTATTGTTTTTATTTTTTAAGTTTATCTTAGGGCTCATATTTGAGCTACGATAATATTGATGCACCCAAAGTCTTCAAATTTTGGGTTCGCCTTTGACGTTGACTTACCATCTGAGCCTTCTTTTTAATCCCAGTGGATTCGTCAAGTGGCATGACTTATGAAGACTTAAAACCTTTAATTCTTTGTTTGATATTTTGAATTTTACTAGTCTAGTTAAGTTGAATGTATGTTATGTGGGGTTCATTAAACGGAATGTCTCTTTAATTATCATATGTTTTTCTATTTCAAACTTGAATTCAAGATTTTTAATTAAGAGTGAAAGAATTTTATATATCTCATCACATCATTTGGTAATCAACTTAACTTTTAAATAAAAATAAATAAAAAAGGTCTTATTCATCTCATCACACTAATTGATTATTAATTTAACGTTTAAATGCTAAAAGCTAATATCAAAGCAATAATTTGGTAGAATTGGGTCTACCTGCTTTAAAGACTTGTAAAAAGAAAATTTCGTCAACCAAATTTGATATTCCATACCACTGTTGAAATGGCAGACACATCATGTATATATTTCTTCTAAGTTTTCGATGTTTGGTATTCACATTAATGTTAGATTAATATCAATGATTTTTCATATTGAGTGTTTGAATTTGAACCTCTGATATTTATTTATTTTGGTTTTTGATGTTTGATATTAACATTAGAGGCAGAATGATATCAAGGATTTCTTCATATTTAGGGCTCGAATCTGAACCTCTGATTGAAGAAAGAACAACCTTATCCAATGCACAACATCCTTTACATACAGTTTAACAACTTACTTCATTCGTCTTAATTTATGCGGTAAAATTGATACAAAACAAAATTAAGAAAGAAGAAGATTATGATTTTTGAAATATTATAAATATGTAAAAATAAAGATTTTTTATAAGAAAAAATAAATTTATAGTGGACTACAAAATCAAATTTCTCTAAGTATAATCGTAACTCCCTCGTCTCCCCTTTCATTATTCGTTCTTCTTTTTTCTACTATAAACTAGATATGAAAGGGCCCGTTAACGGGCCCAATATTACAAATTTAAGAGGTATTTAATTAATTTTTTGAAAAGAAAAATTATCATTAATATTTTCTAATAAAAACGATAGTAAATGATAATAAAATCACACTTTATATTAATAACAATAATAATAATAATTTATATATATATATATATATAAACATATATTTTTATCAAATCATAACTTGTAACTTATTTAAATTGTCTTAATTAACAATACAATATAATATGCACCAATGGTTATTTTAACATAATGTCAAACATAATTAAACAGTTAATTATATATATATATATAAACATATATTTTTATCAAATCATAACTTGTAACTTATTTAAATTGTCTTAATTAACAATACAATATAATATGCACCAATGGTTATTTTAACATAATGTCAAACATAATTAAACAGTTAATTTGATGATATTCTTTTCACATTTAGAGTAGTATAAACATGAAAAATAAAATAAAATTATATCTTATTTTAAGATAATAAAATTATTTTTAATTATTTATTTTTAATAGATATGAAAAATAAATTAACACAAAGAAATAGATAATCTTTTTATTTCACTTTATTTGAAAATCAACATCTGATTATGAAAATTACAAATATAACTTAAAGTTGTATTTGAAATTTGAAAAACATTCAAAACCTTGTTAATACTTTAAGGGGCCGTTTGGTTACCGTATAAGATGCATTTTTTTCTCATATATAAAAAGTTGTATATGTTTTACTATATTTGGTAGAAATTTTGTATTAGGTAGAAAAGCCAACATGACTTACCATGTTTGGTTGATACGTTTCTCAATATTGTATAAAAGTTATTCTTGTATTAATTCTTTACGGTGTATGGTTACATTTTTTGTAATCCTACATAATTGATACCTACATAACTTATGAGGGAATCTATGTATAAATTATACATGATAAAAGATGGAATAAGTTATGAGGATATTAGTTATACATGTATTAAAAAAACTACACATTTATCCCTATTACCTTTTTATATTGAAAACTCTAGAAAAAACTTTACATAACTATTCTATTTTCCTATTAGGTAGAAAAGCCAACATGACTTACCATGTTTGGTTGATACGTTTCTCAATATTGTATAAAAGTTATTCTTGTATTAATTCTATACGGTGTATGGTTACATTTTTTGTAATCCTACATAATTGATACCTACATAACTTATGAGGGAATCTATGTATAAATTATGCATGATAAAAGATGGAATAAGTTATGAGGGTATTAGTTATACATGTATTAAAAAAACTACACATTTATCCCTATTACCTTTTTATATTGAAAACTCTAGAAAAAACTTTACATAACTATTCTATTTTCCTAGCTATTTTTGTTTCTTATTTCTTTTGTATACGAACAATTTTTTATTTGTTTTCATTTGAAATCAAAATATAAATATTTTATTAATATGATGAATCGGAATGTATAATTTTGACAACGCATATGCTAATCATATATTATCACCATATATTACTAAATATATTCCACATATTTAATTATTATGTATTGTTTTTTTATTTGGAATATAAATTTATATATAACTCATATATTTGGTATACTAAAAATGTACAAACAATACATGCAGCATCTTGATAGAAATTTACATTATATAAAATAGGATTTTATAATGTACTTGAAATATATTTATGGTATTTTATTTTTATAAGCTTTAAACATTAAAAAAAAAATAGAGAGAGAAAAAATAAATAGAATTCCCACTTAAGTATAGAGAAGATTTCTTTCTATTTTTATTTTTATTTGGAAATTATACTATTTGCTTGCTTATTTATTTGTAAATAATATATTCAATAATTAATAATTTATGTATTGTAATCTCTACATAACTAAGTAATACCTACATAACTAATATTTGCATAATTAACACCAACATAATTAATACCACATAACTAAATCCTACATAACTAAACCATGCATTACTAAAAACTGCGTAAGTCTAACCAATAACCAAACAACCCCTAACTATATTATCCTTTTTAAAATTTATCACAAATTCTTTATTCTTATAAAAATGGCCCCATTTGAATTATATTTCATATTAGTTTATTTATTTTTTTAAAAAAACACATTCAAATAATCAAATATAATTTGCAAAATCAATAGCTTGACACAAGTTCAACTTCAAAAATTTTAAATAAAGTGATATTTTTTTGTTATAGTATGTGGTAGTTCTTATATGAGATCTAATCTATGACATTATACAACTATCTATTTTGAGATATTACTTTTTTTTATTGCAATTTGGTTGTACGTCTCAGGTATATTAGTCAAGTAATTTTTAGAAACTGAGGAATATAAACCATATTTAGAAAAACATAATATATAAATATATCTTTTAACTTGACTTCGTCTGACATCTATGACATTCAACTTAGGGAGTGCACAAGTAAGCACTTAAAATTTTATAAAGTTGAAGAAGTAGACACACGCGTCCTACGGGGAATAACACACGTGGGAGCCACATAAAATATCGCATAGGACGTGAATTATATTGTCACATAGGACGTCAAGTAGGACACAAGTGTCAACTTGTTCAATTCTATACAAGTTTATGTGTCTACTTATGGATATCTAAAATTGAAGGACATGTTAGATGAAACAAATTAAATGACATATTTATATATTATGCCTTTAGAAAAAAGTATATTTAAATTCTAAATATTTTTTGCATAAAATTTAACCAAACATGACTTCAACTATAAATTTTTTAAATAAAATAAACAGTATTTTTTCATGATCAAACCACACTAAGAAAGGAAATGATTAAATGCCCTCAAATTTGAATTTTTGGTATGAAAAAATCTCATTAAAAATTATACATTCAAAAATAAAAAAGAATTTTTAAAAAAATTTATCAGCTTGAATGTACATGGTTTTGAAGTAAATCAATAAATGGGGTCCATGTAACTTTGCAATGATTTCTTTTACTCCTCCCAATGTATTGGTACACGTGTGCCCATTAAAATCCACAACTATTGACTTAGTGATGGATTCATTGGGAATTACATAAATTTTGGTTGGTTTTTTTGGAAATTTTAATACTTTATGCACAATGTACACTTAGGGCTCGTTTGGTGTGAGGGATTAGAAATAATAGTGATGGGATAAGGAAATAGTGATGGGATAAAAAAAAAATTATGTTGTTTGGTTGGCAAGTCCGGGATAACTTATCCCGGGATTAATAATTAGTACCGGGATAAGTTATCCCTCCCCATGGGTGGTATAGTAATCCCGGGATAACTTATCCCGAGATAGAATAGGTAAATGACAAATATGTCCCTTTAAATCCTTTTTATATATCATTTTTTACATTTATGTATATTTACATTTTTTTTAATACCATGTATAATAATATTTACTACTCCTTATTTTTATGATAATTATACATATTTTTCTATTAAAAAATTATACTATATAAATATAATTTTTATTTATGAATTTATTTGACTAATTCTTATGTTTATTTTATTTTGATTTCTCATAAATTTTCTTCTCTTTAATAAACTTAAGAGGAAAGTTCTATTTTTAAGCTAAATAAGAAAAAAGTTATATTTTTAAATACACATGGTACTTATCATGGGAATACATAAACAAAAATATTTAAGTTAAAAAAAATAAAAGTTTTATTTTAAAAAATGAATAACTAAAGCTCACAAAGAAAAATTTAAAAAGTTTAAATAAAGTGAAGGGTAATTTTGTAAACAAACAACTTGTTCTTAAAATTTATCAATATATATTATTTTGAATATAACAAACCAAACACTCAATAAGAAATAATCCCAGGACAACTTATCCCATCATAACTAATCCCAACATAACTTATCCCAACATAACTTATCCCATCATAACTCATATTCAAACCAAACGACCCCTTAAAACTAAGCTTGAAATATTTTTTGTTTGACAAAACTACCCTTGGTCATATAAAAAAAGAAAAATACAACCTTCCTTTGACCAGGAGTGCACAGATATCAATATATATATATTTCTATATATTAGTATAGAAGTTATAATTTGCCATTGTATTTTTGATTTAATATCCGTTGTGCCACTGATATTTGCCCTTCTATGTTTGATTTATTTTCCGTTTTGCCACTGGTCGTTGGTTGGCTTCACTCTTCATTAGTATAGAAGTTATAATTTGCCATTGTATTTTTGATTTAATATCCGTTGTGCCACTGATATTTGCCCTTCTATGTTTGATTTATTTTCCGTTTTGCCACTGGTCGTTGGTTGGCTTCACTCTTCTATATAATAATAATAAATATTAAGTTTCTGCCAAATTATTATTACTCCATTAGGTACTATATGTTAAATTATCATAAAATGATATTTAATAAATAAAAATAGTTATTAAATCAACTTGGACTTTAAAGTAAACTGAAAAATAAATGATTTTCTCATTTTATTTATCAATTTGGTATTACAAATCTTTCAATAATCAACTTCCTTTTAGTGTAATGTAACCATCACTAAGGAAATCTATTATTATATTATTATCTATCAATTTCTTTTATCAAAAACACATCAACTACTCTGTTTGTTCAATTCGTTTGTTTTAATCTTAAATTAAAAATATACGGCCTAAACATGTCAGATTAAGTTTTAAATTATAAGAAAATATATTATTTTTTTTGAACGGAATTAAAAAATAGCACAAACAAAATACTTATTACTTGATAATAAAATCAACACAAACATTTATTTTAATTTCTATGAAAAATAGGCCCAGTTCTCAATTCTCAATAGAGGCGAAAGCAAAATGCCTGTGAGAGTTGTGGAGACTTCTTCTGCACTTTCGCAGCCTTCAGGTAATGAATTTGCAATTAATTTATCATTTTTTTGATTGAATTTAATGTTTAATTTTTTAATCGAAGTTGCAAGTTTGATTATGGATGTAGAAACTGGGTTTAGTTTAATCAGCGGAATGTGGGTTTATTTGTTTCTTGTTTTTACATTGAGAATCAGATAAAGTTGGCATTTTTTTTTGTTTATTTTCTATTTGAAGATTCATTTGAAAAGATCTGGGCTGCTCACTTTGCTCAATTTGGTGGTTTAAGTGAAATTTGAATTGGGTTTCTTCAATTTATGATTTCAGTATGTTTATCATTGTGTTAGTATGTAGTTTTCTTGAGCTGAGTGTCTAGCGGAAATAAAGGTTGGGTACACACTACTCTCCCCAGACTCACTCGTGGGATTACATTGGGTATGATGTTGTTGTTTGTGGTGGTGGTGGTGGTGTTAGTATGTAGTATTTATGAGATGAGTGTCTATCGGAAATAAAGGTCTGGTAGACACTACCCTCCCCAGACTCACTCGTGGGAGTGTAAAATAAAGGGTTGGTACATGCTACCCTACCCAGACCCACTCGTGGGATTACATTGGGTTTGTTGCTGTTTTTGTTGTTGGTGGTGCTAGTATGTAATTTTCTTGAGCTGAACGTCTATCGAAAATAATGTTTTGGTACACACTACCCTCCCTAGACCAACTCGTGGGATTACACTGAGTATGTTGTTGTTGTTGGTGGTGGTGTTAGTATGTAGTGTTGCCAAAGTTTTGTACTTTTTGGTGTCAAATTATGTGATTTGTATTTCTGAGTAGTAAGTAGTTGTTGCACTACTGAAATGCTCGTTTTCTTTCAACTGCAAAGGTTGAACTTCAAGAAATTACACTGGGTATGTTGTTGTTGTTATTAATATTCGTGGTGTTTGTAAGTAGTGTTGCTAAAGTTTTGTACTTTTTTATGTCAAATGATGTGATTTGTATTTCTGAGTAGTAAGTAGTTGTTGCACGACTGAAATGCTTGTTTTCTTTCAACTGCAAAGGTGGAACTTCAGGAAATACTTTGCCTTCAGTCTGTACACTTCTAAGTGTTGGACAGGTGAGCTTCTGCTTTTTTGATTTTCTCCGTCTGCTCTTGTTGTTTCTATCTTTTCTTTTTTTGTTTTATCCTTCAACAATGGAAGTATGATTGTTTCTATGTTCTTGTGGACTTTATACCAGAGAAGAATCTGAGCTTCCCTATACCTGATTTTGAAAATTTTGTTCTTTGCTGCCTGAATCATATCCAAATTGTATAAGATGAGAATGATCTGAATGTTGCTGCCTAACCTCTTGGTAGACTGAGAGTAGTCGTGTTTGCTTTGATTGAAATCTAACTTCAGTAAGCATCAGTGAGTTTCAAATTTCTTTTTTTTTTGAAGCTTGTTTTAGACCCTAGAAAAGTGATTTAGTACCCTACACACCTTGTTCTTTCCCTAGCTGCAAAAACCCTGAGGTGAGGCCATGTAGGCCATTTTAAAAAAGTCACCTTCCACCAAAGTGTTATGGCCTATGGGGGTCCATCTGATAGACTCATTGATCAGCTGCTGCAAGGGGGCATACTTCTCACTGTCATGTTTTGGCCAATTGTGAAAAGGGCATTATGGTGGTTCAATCCTTCCTTTTGATTGTACCTTTTGGCTATTAATTTAGCCGTGAAGCATTACAACTTACAGTTTATGGTTGTTCAGCTTGTCACACAAGTGAGAAGTTTTATCTTTTCTCACTGCATTGCTTTGTTCCAGGCATTTTCTGGGACTCAGAATGTTTCAAGTCAGCAAAAAGATGAAGCTTGGAGAGTAAATGTGCGAATTCAGGGTTGTGACCTTGATCATGGATATCTATGTGGTACAATGGAAGCTCTTAATGTCCCTATGGCAGATACACCAGTAAGAAGCCTTTATTTTTACTTTAAAAATGAGCATTAGATCTCTTTCCCTTTTCTTCCTCATTAAATTTCTTTGTTACATGAATACGTAGCTTTGTTAAAGAATAAAGAATAGGCATCTCTTGAAGGCTTAACCTTTTGGCTATACTCGTATGAAGCTACACCGGTGGTAAGATGTTGCTTGAAATGTCATTGACAGGTGAACAAAGAGGGTCTTAATCTAACTGGTCTAATTTTTCTTCTATGATTCCAAGTGGTGTCGAGGTAACATGTTTTATTCGACAGTTCCTATACTTTTTGCTGCTTCATCCAGGATACTTCAAAAATCATTATCCATGCTTTATGCCAACAATCTAAATAATATATCTGAGAGTTTCTGGTTGAAGCAAATGTCCTATATATAGTTTTCTGCTGTATTTGCTCTTGCGCAATGAAAACATCTGCTGCTCGGACTCTCCAAAAATGTTGCCACACTCGTGTCGGATTCTCCAAAAATGCACTGCTTTTGGAATATCTTACACACACCCGACATTTTTGAAGAGTTCGAGCGACATAGGAAAATAACGAGTAATAAACTTCTGATTCCTGTTTAGAAAATAGCCGTTGATGATTTTGTTTCCTGCCTATTCTAGTATATCTTTAGTTTTTTTGTTTTGGACTTTACATGCCATTGTTTCGTACTTGTAATACATAATACATAAAAGAAAGGCTTCTCAACCTCGCCACCCAGGAAAGAAAGGGGGGAAAAGCTATAAACTACTCTTCATGAAGAAAGAGCAGTTTAGTTCTTTATTTGTTTTGGGCATATCAGTAGTCTCTCTCTCTGCAGCTATTTTGGTCTCATTAATCTCTTTGGTCTAGCAGAGCAGTACTCACGTACATTTTTACTGTCCTCCAAGTTCACAGACAATTTTGTTGCTGTTCTCTAGTTCCAAGAACAGCTTTTTACAATTAGCTGTAATTGCTACCTTGTCATCTGACCCTACAAACGAGTCTTTAGCCCCCCCAAAGGTAAAAAAAGTTGGGAATTTGCTTATCATTCCCTTGTATGCACGAAAACAAGTGAGTTTTGAGAGGTTGTGTTGAATAGAGTAAGGCAGTACCAGAAACCGTAGGCTTTGAAACCTAATGAACAGAAATACTTTATCTCAATAATGAAAGAATATATTTTGGGCTTGGGGGACGCTTGAGGTGCTTTTGCAATTGTACCTAACTCCTCTGGCATCATATTCCCACAAGGTGTAAAACACTAGGAACAATGTTTAATACTGGATCCTTGGAAACAATCACTAGTGCAATGACCTGTTTTCTAGAACCCTGTAAATAGAGAGTGGGCAAAAGAGAAGGAAGTCAAATAAACAATAATTATATTTTGTTTCTACCTTGGACTTTTTGCTCATATGACAAATCAAAATTATTATGGACAATGCATAGTGCATGTGTCTCGACAGATCGTATGTGTATAACTCTATTTCAAGAAAAAAAAGTATGTGTATAACTGGAAGTTTCTTTTCGAATTAACTCACACTAAAAAGTAAGAAAGGAATTTGCAGGAATGAATAATCACTGTCAAAGATTCTGCAGTTATATCTCTTATAAGAGAAATCAAAGTTCTGCTTCACACGATTTAATATTTCTTTATATTTTTAATGCTATTTTCTTGTTAAACCTTTTAATCTTTTCTTCAATACATGTTTGTTGAACTCATTCTTCTATTTTAAACCTTTAACAATCAAGTAATTACCTAATTCCCACTTATTAAAAAATAAAATAGAAGTGAACTTTGTCTCAAAAAAAATAAAATAGAAGTGACCTAATTCTCCATACACTTGAGCTGTAAACTGGCAACACGGAATCTGTTAGTTTGGTAACCACTTGAAGCTGGGTCTCCTTGTCTGTCTTTTAGAACTTCTTACTTCTGCTATTAGCCTTAAACAATCAAGTAGTTACCTAATTCTCAATATTATTATAGTAAAGTTGCTGTAAAAGGCTGGCAACACACAAAGTACACAGAGGTGCACACCTCTTATCTCTTTAGTAGCTTCATTTCCATAGAGAATTAACTTACTGTGGAAGAGATTCGTTAAGTCGTGATCAGTCTTCAGCATGTAATTGAAACTCTATTCTGTGATTTGTTTTTTTTTGGTAAAAAGACGGTTATCCAATATGTTCTGAATGCTCTTTTATATATCTATCATGGGCCAACCTCGAAAATATAGTATAGCAGGTTAACACCAGTTCTTCGTGGTATTGCCAGGTAGTTACTTTCTGGGAAGGAGAAATTGTTGATACCAAGAACTATACTTTCTTCACTGGCAAATGGGGTGCCACGTATGCTCTTTTCGTCCTCTTTCTACAATGACCAATATTTATTCCAAATGGTTAGACTAATTTACAAGATTAAAGTTTATGTAACTGGTTTGGTTTTATGATCAGATCAGAAGATGACATAAAGCACTGGACCAAGTTTCCGTCATTTTCACCCCTTCTGGTAAGCAGTCAAAGCTTCTTTTTTAAATGCAGATTAAGGCTGGGCACCGGACCGGAATGGGACCACCGGACCGGAACTGGACGGTTTGACCGAGTTGTTGACCGGTACCGGGATGAACCGGACCGGAACTACTGGGATGGAGGCTCAGTTCCGTCCCATCCCACTATATACGGGGATAGAACCAGGACGGACCGGAATGGACCGGAACGGAACGGGATGGGATAAACGGGACGGCACATATAGCTATTACAAAAAATAATTATTTTTTTTGAGTTATTTTGAATTATGAAAATACGAATGTTTTTTTTATTTTTCTAAGTTATATTAGTTTATAGTATTTAATTTTTAAAATTTATAATAATTTTACTTAAGTTTATTTTAAAGATATTTTTTTTAATTTTTACGTATATAAGTTTGTAAGCTGAGTTTAATAAAGTCTTTTTTTAAAAATTTTGAGCTTATGTAGTTATGCTATAAGTTTTAAAGATTTGAATCTTTTGAAGTTTATAAGTTATTAAGTTATACTTATAACTTGTAAGTTAAATAACTTAAGTTTGGAATCTTAAAAAATTAAATAAACAAAAAAGAAATGCTAATAAACGTAAATAATGACAAAAATATTATTTTTTATTTTAATTAAAAATTATTTACCGGGACCGGACCGGACCGGAACGGAACCGGGATGAACCAGTATTGGTATACCAGTACCAAATCATGATACCGTTCTGTTCCGTGTACCGGTTCAATGTATCCCATCCCGTCCCGAATACTACCGGAACGGTACCGGTACAACCCGTTCCAGTGGCCAGCCTTAATGAAGATATTCAGCCTTCTTGATCTTTTCTGCCCTTTTCAGAGCCAAGTGGACGTTGATGGCGGTAAATCACTGGACCTGAATAACTACCCATACATATTCATGGTAACATGTCTTCTAATACTGATTTATACGGTAGGGAGCTTGATTGCAGCGGTCATGATGTGTTACCATTCTGTCTTTGACTGTGCAGAGATGGAAAGAACAATACTTCGTGAATGTTGGAACAGACTGTGGGTTGACAATTGCTGGTTTTTACTATGTTTGCTTCTCCAGTAGTGATGGCTCCATCAATGGCTTCTATTACGATCCTAATAGCAGGTACCATCTTTTACCAAGCTCTTTCTCTTTAAGGTTTTCCCATTTATATGGAGTACCTATTTTGTGCTCATGAACCTTGCCCATATATTATAAACTTCGTACGTCTAAAGTAGATAAGGAAATGATTGGATTTATTTTGGCAGTCCTTTTCAGAAGTTGGAACTGAAATCCACAAATGAGGGAAGATTGGGTTTCAGTTTTTTCCTCATATGAGTTGCAGTGAATCATCAACAAGATCGGTGTATGGGTTGTCGGTAAAATATCAGGCTTTCACTGGCTTCGATATGTTATTTCTGAGTCGTCCATCTGATTTGCTTATTGTCAAATGGACGCGATGTTTCCAGTATACACGTTAGAGCCTTGGCAATAGATAGAGGTTCCTACATGGAACAAAGATCCTGATTCAGTTGTCATTTTTCGCGTAGATGAAGATCTAGTAATGAGTTGAGTCCTAGTGACTGAGTAGTCATTTTTATTTGAGATTTGTTTCAGTGAAGTATATTCCCATTATCAACTTTTATCTTGGCTCTTGATTTGCTGGAAGATCACAAGATTCAAAAATATTTTTTACTTTCTTGAATTTCGTGTCTTGACAAAATCAGACAGACAAATTGAAACGCTGGTAGAAGTGTGCTTGTGATGCAAAGGACTTGAAACCAAGACAACATGCAACTTTAATCATGAACGATCGATTGAATTGCTAATAACAAGTGTTAAGCTATCTAGCATAGATGATGACTCTTTGAGAGAAAAGAATAACCTTGAACATACGTTATTTTTGTTTATATGAAAGGTGATTAAAGTTATCTTACCTCGATCTTTGTTAAATAGAGACTATTTCCGATAAACTCTCGAGAAGTAATCCATGCAAGATTGTAAGAAAAGAGAGAGATTATGTCCAATCTAACTTCTAGCTACCATGAAAGTTATGTATAGGTAAACACTTTAAGCAACTAAAAAAAAAAATCTTCCTTGTCAAGAATGATATTCTTTAGTATTAAATAAATTTCTTTTTGAATCCCCCTAAGGATATTAGAAGACAATTCTTTATCATGTCAGAATATAAATATTTAGAGGCCCCCTTTTTCTTTATACAAAGCTCAGAAGATTGCTTCTACTACACAACATTTAAAACGACCTTTTCTTTATTAGTAAAAATAATCTTGTTTATTTCTTTTTAAAATAATTTTCTTAATATCGTTCATAAGCTACCTAACTTAAGTCTGTTAGGAAAAGAAACTCGATATCTTTGAGTGTACTGTCTTCCTAGATTAAAGCCTCCGTTTGCCGAAAAATCTATACATGTGTTTGTCTCTCTCCAGATGTGTGTGATTGTATCACTTTCAACAAATAGCGACGATCTTCAATAATATATGGTAAAAAGTTACCTGGACACAAACTATGTTGAAACTGTTACTAATCAACTATGTTTTAATAAATTAATGACATTCAAACACATCATGAATCATCTTGAACTGTAAAGCCATTCACCATTTCTTTCAAAAGTTTAGCCATGTGAACTTTTATTTGCCACAGCCATATAATTAAAACAGTACTAGTAGTAGAAGTCCTCCACTTGAAGCAATGCATATATTCCAATTATTTACACGTCCTTCGGTATAAGAAATTTTTACTACATCAAAATAACAGTTACATATTGTAGCAGATAACTTGTCTTACTTTCAAGATTACAAATCTCACATTTTAAAAAGACTTATTTTTAAATATCCTTTGAATGATCTAATAGCGTAAAAAATACGTTATATTGACGATGTATATAACCTTGTAAAGAAAAAGAGACAAAAGGAAAGCACACAAAGCACTTACCTATTAAAGGGGAATGTTTTCCACTAAGAAATTTGTACTTTAAAAACCTTAGAGTCCTTGTCCATAATTTGATCATTCAACTCTTATTCTCACTTACTAGAGCCAAAATGCCTATCTCATCTTATCTTATCCATATTTTGCTCTGCATATTTCTCTTCCTTTTTAGCATTGGTAAGTCTCTAACTTCAACTCATTTTCTCTACTTGTCAGGTTCGACAGAACTCAGTAGCTTTGGTCAAAACTCAAAATCCTATGTTTATGTCATGAAATTTACTTAATATGTATATATAATTTATTCAGAAACTATAAACTCAAAATTCCGGTTTTGCATTTGTGTCTAATGTTACCACACATTGTTTTTTCATGTGACTGCAGATGGAACACAAGTCATTCTAGTAAACAACTGCAAGGAAAGCATATGGCCCGGGATTCTCGGTGGTGCAGGGCAGACTACTCTAAAAGAAGGCGGTTTTCACCTCAGCACCGGTGAGCAAATGGTCCTCGACGTGCCTGATAAGTGGTCAGGGAGAATATGGGGGAGACAGAACTGTCATTTTGATGAAAATGGGAAAGGAAAATGTGATACTGGCAACTGTGGTGGCCAGTTACAATGCCGGGGGCTAGGAGGTGAGCCCCCGGCTACTGTAGTGGAAATGACACTAGGCTCATCGACTTCACCCTTACATTTCTACGATGTAAGTTTAGTCGATGGATTCAACTTGCCAGTGTCGATGAAACCTGTAGGAGGAGGGGTTGGATGTGGCGTAGCGGAGTGTGAAGCTGATTTAAACATTTGTTGTCCATCAGCACTTGAAGTGAAATCTGGAGACAGAGTTGTTGGTTGTAAAAGTGCTTGTTTGGCTATACAATCACCAAAGTATTGTTGTACAGGACAATATGCAAATCCTAACACTTGCAAACCAACTGTTTTTGCTAATCTATTTAAAGCTATTTGTCCAAAGGCTTATAGTTACGCATTTGATGATTCTTCAAGCCTTTATACATGTAGGGCTCCGCGATATCTCGTAACATTCTGTCCTCCAAAGTGAGAGGTTATTTATGCTGTTATGTAATTCCCCTGTAATTTAGGACTATGTTGATGTGACTCTTCAGAAATGTTGTTGCCCCTGTGTCGGATTATCCAAAAATACGTAACTTTTGGAGGATTTGGTACACATTCAATAGTATTTTTGAGAAGTCGCGAGCAACATATATTTAGGATGTGATTGAAGAGTCACTTCCCTCTTATTAAGGGCTACTTTCTTGTCTATTTTTTGTTGTTGTTGTTGTTATTCAGTTTTGTTGGAAAAAGTAGTTTGAAACAATCGTCTTCAATCAATCAAGTATGTTTCAATCCCAAATTAGTGGGGAGAAAAAGTTATTTTCTGTAGCTCATCCACCATTCGTGAGAACATGAATTCAACATGTTCAACATGTAATAGTGACTAGTTCCAAATCATAACTACACCTTAATTAATCAAGTATGTCTCAATCTCAAATAGTCAGGACCAACTATATTATGTAGCTCATCGATCATCCGTGAGATTACGAATTCAACATGTAATAAAGACTAGTACCAAATCACAACAACACCGTAAGCAATCAAGTGTGTCTCAATCCCAAATTAGTCTGGACCAGCTATATTATGTAGCTCACTCATCATCCGCAAGACAATGAATTTAACATGTAATAAAGACTAGTACCAAATCACAACAACACCGTAAGCAATCAAGTGTGTCTCAATCCCAAATTAGTCTGGACCAGCTATATTATGTAGCTCACTCATCATCCGCGAGACAATGAATTTAACATGTAACAAAAACTAGTACCAAATCATAACAACACTTTAAGCAATCAAGTGTGTCTCAATCCCAAATTAGTTAGGACCAGCTATATAATGTAGCTCACTCATCATCCGCGAGACAATGAATTTAACATGTAACAAAAACTAGTACCAAATCATAACAACACTTTAAGCAATCAAGTGTGTCTCAATCCCAAATTAGTTAGGACCAGCTATATAATGTAGCTCACTCATCATCCGCGAGACAATGAATTTAACATGTAACAAAAACTAGTACCAAATCATAACAACACTTTAAGCAATCAAGTGTGTCTCAATCCCAAATTAGTTAGGACCAGGTATATTATGTAGCTCATCCATTACGAATTCAACATGTTCAACATGTAATAAAGACTAGTACCAAATCATAGCAACATCTTAATCAATTAAGTATGTCTGAATTCCAAATTAATCAGGACCAATTATATTATGTAGCTCATCCATCATCGGTGAGATCATGAATTCAACATGTTCAACATGTAATAAAGACTAGTGCCAAATCATAACAACACCGCAAGCAATCAAGTATGTCTCAATCCCAAATCAGTCAGGACCATCTATATTATTTAGCTCATCCATCATCCGCAAGATCACGAATTCAACATGTAATAAATACTAGTAACAAATCATAACATCTTAATCAATCAAGTATGTCTCAATCCCAAATTAGTCAGGGCCAGGTATATTATGTAGCTCATCCATTGAGATCACGAATTCAACATGTAATAAAGACTAGTACCAAATCATAAAAATATCTTGACTAGTACAAAATCATAAAAATATCTTACTCAATCAAGTATGTCTCAATCCCAAATTAATCAAGACCAACTATTTTCTGTAGCTCATCCACCATTCGTGAGATCACGAATCCAACATGTTCAACATGTAATAGTGACTAGTACCGAATCAATATGGTTTCTTATATTCTGGTGAAGATTAAAATGACGGTAAAGAACATATTACCATTGGTGATGTCAATTGAATCAACTTGTTCATGTAGCTCATCCAACATTTGTGAGATCATGATGAAGCCCGGATAATGCACACTATATAGATAAAGAGTAATTAGAAATCAGATTAATCTAGCAACATACACAAGAGCCAAACAAACAAATAAAAAGTGTCTCGTGGACACCCTACGTTAATGTGACATATAAATTTTGGAGATGTCTAGACAATCATTTTGTAAGTTAGACTGTTGGAGTATTCAAATAACACATTGCAGACAAGTTAAGGTGTCTAGATGTGCATACTCAAAGTTGGAGTATTTACTTGTCAACTAAGATCAAATATGAATATTTAGTAATATATTAAAGTTGGAGTATTTACTTGTCAACTAAAATCAAATATGAATGTTTAGTTATATATTATGCTTGTTTATTTCATTGATAAAAGAGGGCTATTAGAATGGTATTTTGAGTAAAAGAGTATGATTCCTCTCATCTCCGTTCTTAATATAAGTTTTTCATCCTCTTCTATCTATCTATGTATTTTCTGATCTTCTTCTCCTTCGATTAACATTCTCAATTTCGTATTAACAATTTTTAGCTACTTGCTTGTTGTTTTCATTTCTCAATTGTATTTTGTGCCGAAGTTGGTTCGTAACAATAGATTATTTGGGGTCAATTTCATCCTAATATATTATTAAAATTTTAAAATTATAGCCTTAAACATAACAATTTAATTTTATTCCGAAAATACGTTTTTTTTATTTAAAAAAAAAAAACGAGAAATGAAATTTATTTACCTGAATTAAAGGAACAAACACATATTAAATCTAAAAAAATTAAGTGTCTACTCCAACATTTTAAATTAGTCTTCGTCAATAAATCAAATCGCACCACTTTATAATACGACAAAACTGACCCACGGAATATTTGTAAGTTCAAAATTAATAAAATCCCACATCACATGTTACTAGATGCTTAGTAGGTCCTCCAAATTGGGGGTGGTTGCAGACGGGTTCATCGGAATTTAGTAATATTAATTTTAATGGCGAAATTATATTGGTATCCAATTATTAGAAGAGTATATTTTTTATGTGAAAATAGTATATTATGAAATTGGTATGAATTTGTTATAATATGTATATACATTGACATGAAATTGGTTTAAATTTAATGTGAACTTTGTCACAGTTATATAAAATTATTTTTTGATTGAAATTGATAAAATGGTATACTCTAAATTTTTAGTATGAAATTTGTATGAATTTATTGTATTATGTATATGCATTGGTATGAAATTGGTATAAATTTGATATGAGATTTGTCACGGTTGTATGAAATTGTTTTCTGACTAAATTTGGTAAAATGGGATACTTTTGGTATGAAATTGGTATGTATTTGCTATAATATGTAGATGCATTGGCATGAAGTTGGAGTAAATATGATATACTTTTTGTGTTTTTTCTCATTCTTTTTAACTTATACCAAATAACAATTATATTTCAGAGAAGAAAGACATATACCCGTTGATCTTCATATATCAATATGAAGATCTTTGACGATCTGAAGAAATTTCTAAATGTAGAGCAGTCTCAATAGTTTCAAGTCATTTTTTTCATATTATGTACGTTATAGTGTGTATGCATCAATTTTGATTCAGTTTGTATGTAATAATTTTAGTTCTATATATTGGTTATATTTATGCGTACAGAATATTCATTAGTCAACTCTATGTATCAGTTTGCAATAAAATTTGTGTTTAAAAAGTGTATAAAAATTTGTATCAATTAGTAAGTTTAGTATATTATGTATAAGCATTTTTTACTGTATGAAATTTGTATGAAAATTGATATCCCAATACACGTTTCGAAAACAAAAATCCATAAGTTAGAATGCTTGTTTTTTTATAAAAATAAAAAACGATATTAATTTTTAAAGCAACTAAAAATAGGAGATTTTAAATATTCTACGGTAAAATTTTAAAAAAGGTTTGGCAACTAAAAAGAAAAGGAAGAAAGAATCAAATTAGGAGATTAATACTATTAATTAGGAGATTGATAATAACTAATAGTGACCAACTAATAAGGAGAAAATCAAGATTACTATATCCTACTCATTACCAAACACTACATTTAAGAAAAGAATATAGTTAATTAATTGGTTAGGAGTAATTGCAGTTCAATTATTTGATATCATTAATATATTAATATATTTGTTATTTTCTTTTCTATTTATTTATTGTATAACAAATGTTATATCCTGTAAGTTTTTTACTATCAAAACTTAAAACATAAACAATCATGTCATAACTAGTGATAAATAGGTTTATACATTAATTATGAAATTTTCTCAAAAAATAATTATGTAACGAAACAAATGTATACTAATAAATTATTTATCATAGCTATAATTTCATCTAATTACTACTAGCCATCTTATATGACTCTGTTCTAACATAAAGCTTAAAACATAATGAATTATAATAAAAAATATTAAATATAAAATTCATAAATTTTAAATTTTTGATCGGTTTCACATAAACTCACTCAAATAAGCATTACTTTACTACTTATGTTACTACTTAGTAGAAGAGTCTAAAAATTATATAGTAAAAAAATTGATTGACTATTGACATTCTATTGGTACCACATCAAATGGGTTAGATGATAAACATATATTATTTGAAATTGAGGTAAATATTTAAAAGTTATATAAAAACATTCGGCGGACTCTTGACATTCTATTGGTACTACATAAAATGGGTTAGATGATAAATATATATTATTTAAAATTGACGTAAAAAGTACAATAAATTACAATAATTAACAAATTTAGAAAAAATTAAAATACATATAAGAAAATCACTTGACTCCAAAAAAATCTATCAATGCCACATAAATTGGAACATGGAAGTAACATATACTATTTGAAAATTGAAAAGGTGCTATAAATTACAATAATTAACAATTTAATATATTTAAAGGACATAAAAAATGGTTAATTTTTGAAATCCTATATATGCCACATAAATTGAAACAAACAAAATATTATAACTTACAATAATTAACAACTTATAATATTTTTAAAAATCATAAGAGTAAATTTTTTAATAACTTCTCAAGTTTCATGATATCACATAAATTGACACCAAAAATATTAACAATTGGGCCCATTGCTGGCACGGGATCCTGTGCAAGCATGTCTTCGTCAACGTGTCTGCTTGTATGACAAGGCTATTTTCGGAACTTTTTAGTTTATCCTTTTTTAAGTCTTTGTAATCTCTTGCTTTAAAGGTGTACTTTTTTTTTATTGGACCAAAAAAACAATCAACATTTACCTAATGACTCATATTTCGTAACTTCCTACTTTTTCTTTCCTTATGCCTTTGTATCCTCTTGCTTTAAGATTGTACCTTTTCTTTATTGGGTGGGTCCAATAAATAAAAATTATTGCCACATAAATTAAAACAAAGAAAATAATATAAATTATTATTTTAAAATCATGTAAAAAAAAAGTACTATAAATTACAATAATTAACAACTTAAAATAGGCCTTAAAATATTTTTAAAATCATATTAAAATTTTGATAAATTCTCAAGTTTCATGCTATCACATAAATTGAGGCAAAAAAATTAGTAATATATATTGGACCCCGTACTGACACGGGTCCTGTATCTAGAATAAATATAAACACCGCTAAATGCAAGCTTCCAAATTTCCAGTGAAGTCACGTGAGTTATGTTCCCTAAAAAGGTAAAAGAACATTATTTATATCATTTGAAAAGGTTTTAACTTTTATATAATGATAATATAAAAAATAGTAATTAAATAGATAAATAAGTAATTTTTAATTGTAAACTTATATATGATTTAAATAATTTTTAAATGGAAAAAAAACACTGGCTAGCTAGTTCTCTTGGTTATCCATTAAAATAGGCAAATCACAATCTACGAAACTTGTTGTCAGTGATTTCAGCACAAAAATCGAGGCAAGAGAAGAAGAGATGCGTGACTATTTCAATAAGGAGATATGAAAGATTAATTACGGAGTTTGGCTGTTTGAGTAAAAATAGGTAAAAACGTTATACATATGCAGCTTATTAAGGATATCATTTCAAATAAAAAAAATCTGAAAATCGAATATTACATAAAAAGTTACTAATTAGTTGAGCATTCTCCGATTATTAATATTATTACTAAGACGAATTAACATGTAAAAGGGATGGATGGATTGTTTACAATTTTGTCCATCAATTATTTATGAATTTGACAAATCAAATCAAATGTATTTTCAACTTTTTAAGAGTGCTCTTAGTGAATGACTAAAATAAATGATTTTGACTAAAATATCATCATGAACCACTAAACAAACCTAAATATCATAAAAGATAGTTGTACACTTGTACTAGTAATTTATAACGAATTTAAAATATATTTTCCCTCTTTTTTTAAAAAAAAACATTATTTATTATACTTGATTAACTAATCATATCTTACTCACGTGTATTTTGGTGTAGCGATGTTACATTTTTAACTAGAGATTTCGTTTCTGAAAGATGTAGGTGCGAAATCCAAATTTAATTAGGCTTCAAAAATTGAACTAATCATATCTTAATTACTTTTATTCGCAAAATAAGTTTATCTAAATCCAAATTTAATTGGGCTTCAAAATTCGAACTAATCATATCTTAATTACTTTTATTCGCAAAATACGTTTGTCTTTTTAACCTAGTACAAATAATAAAAAGGTATAAACAGCACCTCTTCTTTTTTCCTTATCATTCTAAACTACTCTGGAATCTCAATTTCAATCTATTTTCTATTGCCCCCAAATTGAATCTCTTTTTCAATTTTTTTCTAGATTTTCTTATATTGACAACTTTTTTTTTGTTTTTTCAAATAAAATCACAAAAATATAGATATGGGTATGAAGCTTGATGAAGAATATGGAGCAGATAGATTATTGCAAATCGAAACGGATGATGAAGAGAATGAGGCACATGATATGGTTAATGAAGACGACGATACTGGATCTGAAATCTCTAATCACTCTGTTCATGCCCCTTTTCATAGCCAACTTGATTCTCCTACTTGGCCTCAAAGTTATAGGTATGATTTTTTTTCTTTTATTAGGCTGCTAATTTTTTTCATGCATAGAAAATAAATGAATAGTAATATCGTATGGTTTAGTGGTTAATGAAGTGACTTAGTGGGTAATGAAGTGGATTGAGAAGCCCTGAGGTTTTTGGTTTAAATTTTAGAGACAAAAATTACAGGTGATTTAGTCGAAGTGCATGCAAGCTCAGCTGGCCGGACACTACCACTTTTTATCCCAAAAAATAGGTATCCCTCTTGTGGTGATTTTGAAAGAATAGTCGAGATGTACGTAAGTTGGTTCAAAGTTCAAACAGTAAGGTTATTAAATAAAAGAATAAATGAATAGTAATATCGCTTGGCCTAGTGGTTAATAAAGTGGGAGAGAATGTATGATTCGTGGTAATAATGTTTTCATGTGTTTAAGTATGAGTATGGTTTAGTGGTTAATGAAGTGGGTTGAGAACCGTGAGATCTCAAGTTCAAATTCAAGTAGAGACAAAAATTACAGGTGATTTAGTCGAAGTGCATGCAAGCTCAGCTGGCCGGACACTACCACTTTTTATCCCAAAAAATAGGTATCCCTCTTGTGGTGATTTTGAAAGAATAGTCGAGATGTACGTAAGTTGGTTCAAAGTTCAAACAGTAAGGTTATTAAATAAAAGAATAAATGAATAGTAATATCGCTTGGCCTAGTGGTTAATAAAGTGGGAGAGAATGTATGATTCGTGGTAATAATGTTTTCATGTGTTTAAGTATGAGTATGGTTTAGTGGTTAATGAAGTGGGTTGAGAACCGTGAGATCTCAAGTTCAAATTCAAGTAGAGACAAAAAATTTAGGTGATTTAGTCGAAGTGCATGCAAGCTGGCCTTAACATTATCACTTTTTATCCCAAAAGATTGGTATCCCTTTCGTGGTGATTTTGAAAGAATAGTTGAGATGCACATAAGTTGGTTTAAACAATAAGATTATTAAGAAAAAACAAAAATGTATAACTAAGAAGATGTGAAATTTGAGTATTTAAATTTGTGTTGTTATTATGTATATATATTCCGTTCTGACTACATCTTATTAATGTTAGTTGGGATTTGGTTCCAGGGATATTATTATTGTTGTTGTTATTATTATTATTATTATTATTATTACTAGTGTTGTCAAAGGTGCGCTTAAGCCCTGAAATAATGCACATAACATGTTGAGCGCTTTGCCTTGCTTAATGGGCGCTTCAGTGTTGTCATCAAGGCTCTAAAGCTTCTTTTCCTTGCCAATGAGTGCAATCGTTAAACCGTGGCACTAAACAATTGATATTTTGTTTTTATCATAATTTTTTCAAAGGAAGCTGCTAACTTATGGTATCCCCTGATCCAAGGGTGTGCTATAATCTTATATCATATAAACTTCTTCAGGATAGTGTGTCTGCAGGCCTTACCCCTACCTAGGAAGGTAGAGAGGTTGTTTCTGATAGACCCTCAGCTCAAGGAAATACTACCATCATGATCAAATATAACTGCACATTTTGATACTTCTTGTGAATTGACTTGAAATTTGTACAATTTTTCATCCAAATGAAGAGTACTGAATCTTTTATTGAATATATAGGAGGTCAATGGACGTGTTTACAGGGGTGACCCCTCCATCATTGAGTTTTTTAAAGGGAAGCTCCATGTTGAGTTCAGCATACATGAGGTCTCAGACTCTGACACCTGAATATTCCCTCAGTAAACCTTTCATTTCTTCTCCAAGCCTTGACAGGGAAGAAATTCCAACTTCGAATCCTTCAAAGCTATCGATTGTTTCTTCCGCAATATTTTCAGCACCAGAATTGCCACCATCACAACAATGTTCATATACCCAATCAGTTCTTAATGGTAAGACATGGATGTTATCTTGTTGTTTATATAGTGATGGCTTATTGTTCTACTGCTAGGGTAGCCTAACTTTGGTCCTCCAGTTTTGTCATCGTAACATTTATGTCTAAAGACTGTCCATTTTCTGTTGCACTTTTTGACCATGTGCACTATTTGAAAATCATGCTAGAATGTCTTTGATCGCATACAGAAAAAGGTTTAGACTTTAGACATGTATTTATATAACCTGGAGCTATATTGTTCATGTACTGTTGTTCTATAGGTACTTATTTCTGAAATTACATCTATGTTTCTCCTGAAAGTTCAGTATTTGGTTAAAATATCAGTAGATTGGTACCCGACTAATGTTCTGCTTGTTTTCCTTGTCATATCTGTTTCGAGTACTTAAACCTCTCATCTCTATTCTCCTGTTTGTTTGTTTTAACATGGATTGATTTTTCAATGCAGCAATAAATGCTCTGTGTGGGATAGGGATCCTTTCGATTCCCTATGCACTCAAAGAAGGGGGATGGTGTAGCCTTTTCCTTCTGTTTCTTTTTGGAATCATTACTTTTTATACTGGAACTCTTTTGAAAAAATGTTTAGAAAGTTCTCCTGGTATTGAAACCTATCCAGATATCGGACAAGCTGCCTTTGGATTGTCTGGTCGAATATTCATAGCTGTGAGTATGACAAATTATTGACGACATATATACTAATGTTTTTTCAATTTGTAGAACAAGATTTTCGTTTGGTTGCTAACGTTGGATTTTCATTAAATGCAGATAGCCTTGTACGCGGAACTATATGTAAGTGTCTAATTCTCGCTCTCTGCTTCATACTGCTGTATGTAGCCCTTAACTTGGAACTACTTTTTCCTCTTTACAGTCCTCTTGCATAGAGTATTTGATTATGATGAGTGATAACCTCGGCGCCCTATTCCCGAACAGTCACATGGAGTTTGCTGGACTTCATCTGAATTCTTATCAAATATGTGCTATTATTTCTACCCTTGTCATACTTCCAACCGTTTGGCTTAGAAATCTCAGTTTGCTGTCTATCGTTTCAGGTTTTGGATACTTACCTCAAAATGTCTCGAATTAGTTCATAATTGTTCTATTTGTGCTAATGTGTGTTGAATTGTGATTCTCTTCGCTCAGCCGGTGGAGTGATTGCACTGATTGTCGTGGTGATCTGCTTGCTATGGGTCGGGGTGGTTGATGATGTTGGATTTCACCCAAGTGGAACAGCTATTAACATTGCAAAGATACCTGTCACGATTGGTCTTTATAGTTTCTGCTATGGAAGCCATTCAGTTTTCCCAAATATCTACTCATCAATGAAAGAACCTTCAAGATTCCCTTCTGTTCTTCTTATAAGGTAAATTAAATGAATTAGGCATTTACGTATACAATAATGTGATCAATCAAAATGTACATCTGGAAGCTGAAGGTTTAAGATTTAACTTGTATTGGTTCATACTGATGCAGCTTCAGCACTGCCTTCTTTTCGTACCTCGGAGTAGCAATTTGTGGCTTTTTAATGTTTGGTGAAAACACCAATCCACAGTTCACTTTGAATTTGCCAACAAAACTTGTTACTTCAAAAGTTGCAGCTTGGACAGTGGTAAGAATAATATTAGCCGCTTTAGCCTATGCTTTTCTCATAAAAGACTGAATTTGTTTCCCCTGTTTTACATTGGATGATTATTGAAAATCTAAATATAAATAATGTTTTTTTTTTTTGCAGGTCATAGCCCCTCTCACAAAATACGCGATAACACTTACACCAGTAGCTTTTGGCATAGAAGAATTCCTACCTTCGCCTCAGCTTAGAACTTATGCTGTATCCTTACTCATCAGAACACTTTTGGTGTTTTCAACTCTGGTCATTGCATTGGCAGTTCCATATTTTGGTACGTATTTTCGTATAACATTTGCATTGTACTGATATACACGAGTACAAAAGGTGGAAACCATTACAAATTAGTAATCAGTTTACAAACTAAGATATTTCTTTATGAAACTTAACTGCAGGTTCTGTAATGTCATTGATTGGATCTTCACTAGTAATGCTTGTGGTAAGTTTAGCAAAATTGTTTCATTTTACTCTTAATATGAAAAGCTAATTAGCTTAAGGTACATACATAACATGATTTTTTTCTTTTGCTTGTTTTTTTCAGTCGTTAATCCTTCCTTGTGTATGCTACATCCAACTACGCAAGGATCAAATCAAGCGATTTCAGGTATTTTTCTCTCCATTTTTTAGTTGAAAAAAAATATATTTTCACCCCCTAATTATGCTAAAAATAATTTTATTTCCCTCTTGTATTATTCAGCTTGCAGCTTGCAGTTCCATTATAGTGGTGGGACTGATTTCAGCTGTAGTTGGCACATATTCTGCACTCACAAACATGGTCTAGTTTGAAGATGGAAGGTTCGGTCTCGTTATTGATAGAGTGAATAGATATCTCTCTTCTGATTCAAAATCGTAGTTCCGGGAGTTGGGTTCTTGTACACTATGCATGTCCAAAGGAAACCGAAAAAAACCAGAGTACCACCAATTTTGTAGAATTGCTTGAGTGATTATGAAATCGAAGTTGTAATTAGCAAGAAATTAGATCTTGATTCATTTTTTTAACTCTTAATGTTGATTTTTTAAAACCTTTTCTATTGTAACAGTAGTTAATTACATTGTTACCTCATGATTTAGCAATTAATTAGACCAGCAATTTGTTATCACTCTGGGGATTTATCTATATCTATTTGTATCTAGTGTTTCTTATATACTGATAGTATAACCACTATTTTGATCGAACTTGTGGGTAATCAAAGTGAATTTTGATAGTTAATTGGACTCCTTACGTATGTGTTACCGGTATTTCTAGAAATAACGATACGTATATTTTTAAAATATGGATGCACCCTTTGAGTAAATAACTCAATATTCAATCAAGTACATTATTAAACTCTTTTGGAGTATGGGAGCCAACACATAATATTAAATCAAATTTAGGAAATATGTACAAAAACACTTGATTTGACAAAAAATCATGGGTTCACATGATGTGATTGTGTTCTTTTAGTTTCTTTTTTCTTGGGGAAAAAGGTTTGAAAAATACTTTAACTTTGGCCGAAATTGTTATTACGATACCAAACTTTATGGAGGATCTATTACCCTGCACTATTTAATAGTGCATTTTAAAGGTATAGATGTGCCCACGTGGATACATTACTATTTACAATGATGCAATATTTATGATGTCCACGTGGGTATATATATACCTTTAAAATACACTATTAAATAGTGCAGGGGTAAAAGGTTATTTCCAAAGTTCGGTATCGTTACAGCAATTTCAGTCAAAGTTCGAATATATTTCAGATTTTTTTCCTTTTTCTAGTTTCACTTTCCCTGGATGTAAATAGTGTAATTGTTGGGTAATGCTAATATCCTATTTATGACAAGGTCTATGAGGGGGCTGGGGTTGTCCAGGTCGGAGTCATGATCAAACATAACACTTGTGTGATAGACTTAGTTAAGAAATAAAGTTACATCTTTGCTATTAGCTAAGACTTTTGGCATATGATGGTAAGTGCTCGATCCTACCAGTAATTTTATGTAATGTAGCAACTTTCCTTCTCTCTCTTTTTAGATTTTGTTCTTCCGTGTGAATGTCGGGTAAAGTTGGATCAAGAATTTTTAAGTTTATAATCACAACTCTTTGTGTTTACTAGGTTTTGGATAGTTTAATTTACTCATATACATAAACAAGTGAAATTCATAATAAATACAGGATTCAAATCAAAATTATTGAGTTCTGTTGAATCCGTACGATATAGGCAGAATGTTGGTGTAGTTTGAATAGTCTCCATTAGTCAAACAGTTTGGATTGACATGAAGGGATGTAGAATGAAGCAAGGCATGTCCATTGCTTGCCATAAAAATAGCTTAATACACAAATTTTCCAAGTGTTGTTGTGTCCAGTTAACTACTTAGAATTGTGAGATACCAAAAGGATGAAAACCCATTTCTCACCAATTTTAGCTCCTTCACTTCAATTCAATAGACGGATATCTACGGTTAGTTTTTTCACCTTTAATTAGAAGTTTTGATTTTGAGCTCTAGATATGAAAAAAAATCTTTGTTATAAGAAGGGTTGCGCTTGGGTCTTACGCGGCGCGTGCGAATCCAAATTAATTGAGACTCCAAAACATATATCGAAAACGAATAGAAAATCTTATTGAACATTTGCTTAATTATCAATGAACAAGTATGTTGAAAGTCAAAAAAAGATTACAAGCTCATGATTTAACTTGATAAAAAAGCATATGTAACTATCATTAGACCTATCAATTGATAAGTGTTAAGATCTGATAAGAGGGTGTGTGGTGTGTACAAATGTAAACACTTTACACAATATTATATAATTAATACTAAAAATTGTGAATATTATTATTATTTTATTATTTAAAAATATAAATAAATACTATAATCAAGCTACGTTACTGAATACGATCATTTAACAGCTTCTTGGATGAAAACGCTAACGAGAAACTTTTACAAGGTTTTTTCTACAAACAATTGACACGTTGGCATGATTTGCAGTGTAATATTTTTTAATTAACTTAAAACGTTAAATGTGTATATTGTATTCCGTATTTATCTTCTTTTAATTCTATTTGATGTTTTTTTTTTTCATAATATAGATAGACATATAGTTTGTATGTGAACGGATAATTGAACACTCCAATTCTGAAAATGCATATTTGAACACCTCAATTCATCTCTATTGTATTGTCAGTTAAAATCAAATTAAAAATATTTATTCATGTATTATACTTTCTTTAGTCGGATATCCATTAAGGAATATTTGGTATAGTGAGTCAAAAGAATATCTTTAACAAAATCTTTACTGGTGAAATTACATTGAATATATTGTTGTTGCTCTGGTATAGCGGACCCTCTTGAATTTCTTCTTTAAGACAAATAAATATAAATAAATATCTTTCACAAAGAGGAAACTAAAACAATGCAATGTAATAATAATAAAAATAAGGCATAATATAAAGATAAACACTTAAATTTGACCTCAACTGATAACTAAAGATTTTAATTTTGCGTATTTACATCTAGACATCTTAACTCTTCTCTATTGTGTCGGTTGAACACTCCAACAAACAAAATAATCATCTTGATAGCTCCAAAATTTATGTGGTATGACACAATGGCGATATATCAGACGAGTTGGAGTATTTAGTTGTCTATTGATGCTTCTAGTTGTAAATGTGCACTATTAAAGTTGGAATGATTACTTTTCAGCTAAGGCTAAATTTGAGTATTTGTTTATATATTATGCCAAGAAATATAGAAGTTAAATTTGAATATTGAGGAAAGTTTTAGAACCTCAGTAAAATAGAAAAATTAAAACATATAGAACTAGATTGTCTTTGACAACACTCTAAAGTTGTTTTCCAACTATAGTAGTTAGTCAATTTTATGTACAAAAAAATTGAATTTCTTCGTCATTGTTCTTCTTTAAACTATACTACTATTTTCATCACCTAACCAACCTAGCTAGCATCCCTATATACATCAACTTTACTAGCTAGTTTTCATCCAACTACATTAATATAAAATTTAATTCAAACAATTAAGAAGACATCAAATTAAATTGATGAGCTCTACTACTTTTCCCCCATTAGCTCCCATGACAATGTTCATTATTGTTTTTCTTGCATTATGTCTCATCTCTCAACCTACACAAGCAATCACTAGACACTATGAGTTCAATGTATGCATCATGATATCCAAAATCTTTTAGCAAATATGTTTATTTAGTATGCTCTGCACTAATTTGCTATTAGTTGTCACATTTTTCTTTTAATTACAGCTTTATTTTGCTTGAGCCGAGGGTCTTTCAAAAACAACCTCACTACCTCGGAGAGGTAGAAGTAAGGTATGTGTACACACTACACTCCCCAGATCCCACTTTGTAGGAGTGCACTGAGTTTGTTGTTGCAGTTGTAGTTTAATTTAATTTCTTACAAATGCTAACATTTTTTTTTCAATTTTTTGAATATTTATTTATGTAGATTACAATGCAAAATGTGACAAGATTGTGATTTGTGCCATACAAAGAGCATAGTGACAGTCAATGGAAAATTCCCAGGGCCTAGAATTGTGACAAGGGAGGGTGATCGTCTACTTATAAAAGTCACCAACCATGTTCCTAACAATATTACCCTACATTGGTATAATTCTTTGGACCATATTACATTAAATAGGCTATTTTATGCCTTTTTTGGGTCATCATTCAGATTTTGTGTCTATTTTTAAAATTTGTGTGAATATAGCCTTTACGACACACAAACTAGTGATCTAACGTTTTCTCATAAGATTTGCAGTTTGATCAAAAAGAATCTTTAAACCATGATCTAAAAGGTCCATAAAGTTAAAAGATAGTGAATAAAAAGAAGACAATTTACTAAACAACGGTCTCAAAAAGGGCCAAATTTCATAATCCATTTACTTGCATCCTTTCTATATGATTTTTAACTTAAATATATTGACACTTGTACGATATTAGTGTATTTTAACATATTGTAACAGGTTAACTCCCTTATTTTCCATACAACTAATCACACTTGTTACAACAATTACCTTTAGTTATTAGGTAATCAGACACGCGTTATTAATGTATAGAAGTTAAAAAAGTGATCCTTTTTTTCCTCTTAACACGCATGGAGTTAGACAACTACCAAATGGATGGGCAGATGGACCAGCTTATATAACACAATGTCCCATTCAAAGTGGCCAAACTTATGTATACAATTACACAATTATTGGCCAAAGAGGGACTTTATGGTGGCATGCACATATTTCATGGATAAGATCTACTCTTTATGGTCCTCTAATTATTCTTCCTAAGAAAAATGTATCTTACCTTTTTGTTAAACCATACAAAGAAGTCCCTATCATTTTTGGTATATACTCAATCTATACATAAAATCAAGATTTATAATTATTATGATTATGTTAATTATTGTGAAATTCTGTTGATGTTTAATTAGGAGAATGGTTTAATACTGATCCTGAGGATATTATTAGCCAAGCTTTACAAAGTGGTGGAGGCCCCAATGTCTCTGATGCCTACACCATCAATGGTCTTCCAGGGATCTTGTACAATTGCTCTACAAAACATAAATAATTTTTACATCTTTATCAATCGTAGCAGATAACATATTTTATTTTCAAGACTATAATCTCACATTTTTAGGGGTTTTCTTGTAAATATCCTCTGTTTTTCACCCCACTCACCCAGAAGGATCAATAGAGTTTCCACTTATCCTCCAGCATGACTCAAATCCTCAATCTACTGGTTGATGTTGGTGGAGGTGTTCAACCACTTGAGTAAACCTCACTTAACTGTAAATATCCTTTGAATGACCAGATGGTTGATAGTGTAATTATTTTTTATACACTAGCGGTGTAAATATAACTTAAACTGTTAGTGCAAGGAACTTTT